CACCAAGAATAACTTATCAGAAAGAGAAATACAGCAAACTGTTACAGAACAACATAACAGGCTGACAAAACATTTTTGTTATAATTATGAAACACAAGGAAATCTTCGAGATAAAAACTGAGCATAGGACCTCAGAGTGGTGCAACTTGTGACTTGGCTTAACAGGGAAAAATTAAGACAATATTCAAAATCCACATGCAAGAAAGTGATTTTTCTCAACAACAGAGCACACGTTAACATTCATGCAAAAGTTAAAAGCATGCTTCTGAGAGAAAAGACAGTAGTTTGGGATACAGTAATTTGGTGTTACATACAAAACAGGCAGTAGTGACAAACACATCAAGAGGATCAATTCATAGAAAACCAGGATAAAATATTTGTGTGGGCTGTACCTTCTCTCCTGTATTCCTTTTTTCCTATATTCTTGCAATTGTTAAATGCATTGTTATGCTAATAAAGCCTCGCTGAATTAAGCAGCATAACCTATCTGAAGCTATGCCCAAGACATATAAAAAAAGAGGAACAGGATTCAAAAAAATCTGCTTTTCCAGCAAGTGGTGTTTTTACTAGACCACTGATTCCCACCTAGTGAGGAACACCAGCATTTAAATTCAGTTACGGCACAGCATGGAACACAAGCTAATAATCTCTTCTGGATTTTTTAGATTGGAATAAAAATTATGAGTGGCAAGAGAGAGAAGAAAATGAGACACAAAAGAAAAGGTGATTGCAACAAGGCCCATATTGTGTTTTTGTCTTAAAAAACAAACAAACAAAAACCACAGTATGGGAACTATCATGCTAGACAATAGAATGAAAAAATAAAAATCCAGGATTTTCAAGTTGGGGTTTTTTTAGGCTTTAAAATCAGCATTGTTTAGTTGTTGAAGGAAAAAGTAGCACTTGGGGGTTTTAATCACTTAAGTTTTATATGGGCATAGCAGTTACTGAAAAATAACAAAAGGCACAGTAGTATTACCCAATTTTCTCATTTTAGGACAGTTGCTTTCAATTGCTTGCAAGTTTTCTTAATACTACAAACAAAATTTTCTGTATTACATGTCTACCATAACCTCCTAATCAAAACAGTTCAGCCAATTTTGAGACTAATTCTATGGACATTTTTTTCCCCCCAAGACCTTCTCTTTAGAATTTCTTAACACCCTTGCTTTAAAAAGAAGGATGCAAAAAATCCATCAAAAGCTGACAAATTTATAATGTCCCCAAAATCATAATTACAAATGCCCAATAAAGATCTAAGAAAACTTAACAGCTGAAATCTTAGAAGAGTGCACCTTAGCAGCACATCTTTAAGGCTATTCCAATTTTTAGTACTGTTTCAACTGCATGTCTGCCACCCTGACCAAATAGCTGAGCAAACGAGGTTTGGTCATACTTGCTCTCTTAACTAATAGTTTAAATAAAACCTATTTTTTTAACTATTACTTTTTATCTGCTATAGAGGCACAAGCTTACCTTAACTTATAACCATTGTATGTAAACCTAGGATCTTGGTTGATTTTCTTTTAATTAGAACACTACACACACACAAAAAAAAAATATAAGCGCAGTGTTACTTGAAGGCTTTAATGGTCAAGAGGTGGGTAAACACTGAGAATACATCCACAAGAGCCCAGTAAGCAGACACAGCACTCTGATGAAACTTGGCAGAACTGAGTAGGTAAACCCTAATGCTTGAAGTATAATCAGTCATTTATGATAACTGCATGAAAAAAAAAGGTTCTCTCGAATTGGAGAACAACTGCATGGTAAAATAGGCTCTCTCGACTGAGTCTCTTCAAACACTAGTAAGGACCTCATGAACTGAAACTGAAGAAGACTCCCAGAGTGCAGGAAAAACAAAGGCACATTACAGGTGGTTGTCACGATTTAGTGTGAATCAAAGACACATCCAGCAGGGAGACCCGCTTGGTACTTTCAAGACTTGAAAGTTGGGAAAAAGCATCTAATCTGCCTGGTACAATGACAGAAATAGCACCAATCCTAAACCTCAACCAGGACATGAAAGCACTTAATATTTTAAAATTCACAATAGACATCCATCTTCTTACTCCACCATGCTAGAAAGTACTCTGTGAATTCATTTCCCCCATGAATGAAGAAGAACCGTGTCCATGGACCTTAAAGCCAACTGACTGTTCACCTCTTGCCACTACAGCTTCTTTGTAGGAAGTTTGTCTCAAAACTGATAAATCAGCAGGGTAAAAAAAACCCAGAAAGGTGACAGCTAAAGCAATTTAGCCTCAACTGGAAATTTCCATTGCCTAGCTCTCGGATGTTACTGGATGCCAGACAGAAAGAAAAAGTGCCAGTCTAACTGCAAATGGTGAAGACAGGGAATACAGAAGGGAAGAAAAGATTGGGACAATAAATGTAGGTGCCTTGGTTGTACAGCATAACTTAGAGACATGTCATGCTACACAGCTTATCTTAGCATGATGTTTGTTTGAAATATCAATGCCTGTATAATGGTTCAGATGATGGAAGGACCAAGTTCAAATTTATGCATTGACACCATTGATAAGAAAAAAACCAAAGATTATGCCTTTACCAATTTCCAACTGGCAGACATGAGTCACCAAAGTGTAGTCCTAGAATCGCTGAAGTAGCACAGGACTTTGTTAATTCTCTGTGCAAACACAGGACTTCCCTTTTAAGGCTGTCAACCAAACTTCTCACCACTTCAACCTCCCCTTATAAGTTCAGAACCAAAAGACTCTTTAAATGGTAGTACCTGTGAATAAGATCCTGACAAGTCAATCTATGACCGCTTGAAAACAAGTTAGGTACGGAGGTAAGACACGCTACTCCTCTGAGGGGGGAAATACAAAAAAACCCCAACACATCTCCTAGAAAACAGCCAAAGGAAGGACAGGAATTTTAACCACTTAACCTATGGAGGGCTCTCCAGTTCAGCTAAACACTAAGAGAAAGTGCATCTCCTAGGGAATACTTCACCTTTTTGTGACAACGTGAGGGAAAAAAATACTACGGCATTTCTGCTTCTGTCTGCTAAATATGGCCTCTGTCCCATAGCTTTTTGAATCTGCTTATCCTCTGGCAGTTTTAACAAATAGAAGCAATGGTGCACAATTCTTACTTATTTAACTTCTCCATGTCAATCATGATTTTACAGACCTTTGTCTTAGCTGATCTCAGTGTCTCTTTTTTAGGCCAAGAGTCCTACACTATTTACTGTTTCCTTATAAAGATGCTGTTCCTTGCCACTGTTCACTACCATGGCTACCCTTTTACCTCTTTTGATATCTACTGTATGTGTTTTTAATGGAAACTGTCTTTTCCCTTTAACATTAATTTCATTTGCCCTCTTACCACCTTATCAACAGAGGTTCGTGAGGTCTTTCAGCAGTTTGCAACAGCTGATCTTCATAGTAGCTCACTGCATAACCTAGCATAATCAGCAAACTTGGCTTCTGTTCTTCCTCCTTTTCCTACATCATTTATGAATATGTTGAGCTGTACAAAAGGCCACAAGGCTGCTCATTCCCAGACTCTGATGGTAAACCTCTCCACTGTGAAAACTGAGCATGTACTTGTTTGGGGTTTTTTAAATCTTTTAATCTGCTACTATACTATGACACAACCTCTCCCCTTACATCCAGACTATTCAATTCAAGTGTCTTCAGTGAGTTATGGTGTGTAATACTCTTCGGGAATTAAAAAAAAAAAAAAAAGGAACTAACTCCAATTGGTTGTGATTTCCTTTCACAAAAGCTATATTGGCTCTTTGCCAAAGCATCATATTTTTAATTCATTTCTTTAACATAGTTTCTATCAATTTGTGCAACAGAGATGTCACCCAATTTGGGGTGAAACTGGCCAACAGGTTCCAAAGTCACAAGACAGAAGTCACACAGACAACATTGGCATAATGCAAGCCTTATTTCTTTAGGAAACCAGTCCAGAAGAAGAATTATGTAAAAATATGAACTACCACCTATAACAACAAAGTGTTATTTGATATTGAAATGTATTCTGTGTTGGCCTACACATAGTATTTCTGCTCTATATGTACTATATATACATGTGTGTGCATGTACACAAACATATAATTATGTATGTATTAAGCTTGACTTTTAATTCTTCAGGTTTATATCCACTATCTTAAATTACTGCACTTATATGCACACACAAAAAAGAGATATTTGATACATTCATTGTAAAACAGATTCTCATCAGAAAATGAAAAATACAAGAAACATGAAGTATAAAAAAATCATGTCCAGTACAGTATTCCTTCATACTTACACTCTAAACATGGTGGCTCTCTACAACTATAACTTCATACTCTCTTGCCTTAATAAATGCAATCTTGCCCAACTTAAATTCATACAAAATACTACCATAAAGATATTTTTCTGGTTCATTAGTTCGACTATGTCACCCTTCTGCACTCAAGTGCCTCCCTTATCCCTTCACCATCAAACATGAACTTCCTATCTGCATTTGTATGACCTTTCAAATACCAAACTATAGCATGTATGTCAACTTTCATTTGCTATCAAGATGTCAGCCTTGGCCACCTCTTTGCCAGGGCTAGCCTTACTTGTCCATTTGTCAAATCTCCCAAATAAACCCCTCTGTTCTTTAACTGATACCAGCATTTTTGCATGAAACATGCAAAACTTCATGTGTTTTCCTCTGTTAAATCCTTTCTTAAAACATGTTCTGATAACAGATGTTGGTTAGAGCACTGATAAACTGTAACCAGCATTTATGCTACTAGTCATAATAAAGTCATTATTATTATACACTTGCACAGACTATTTTTAAAAGTCTATGTGCTCTACAAAGATGGGACTATGTAATATTATAGGGAACTTCTAGCCACTATAATGTTTTCACAACAAATACAATTTTTATTCACCTATTTTCCAAACAAATTATTGTTTCTTTTAACATTGAAAATAAGCAGGTCAATAACAGGTTTGCTATCTTAAACCCTTGTGATAGTTTACCTGAGTTGCAGCAACAACAGTAGTTACAGAAGGCGCAGTTGAAGGTGATAGAGCTCCCACTTGCTGCAAGTGGCCTGAAGCCTGCTGAGGTAAATGAGAACTGGAAACGGGAGTGCTAGATCCTGAGCCAGATACTGCATTTGGAAATGATACTGCTACATCATTGCTGCTAAAAATACCTGAAAAAAATTACAAAAACGATTACATGCATCTCTCTCTCTCCCCCTCCGTTTTCTAGTAACCATGTAAATATGCAGTAGAAAATTAATCAAGACAAACAAGATCACTTAATACATAATGCAGAAAGCTCCTGTGTTGAAATTCTAACCATGCTGATTGATCAAAGTGCTCTCGTCATTTGACATTCTACAGTTCAGGGAACAGAGACTGATTCAGTTTTAAGTTTTTGTAAAACATGTGTGATAAATCAAATATTTATGTGCATTACAAAGTGCTTAAATATTAACAGTAGCAGAATTTTTGGCTAAAATGCCTGCCTTCAACTGAGTCTGCTATCAGAGTTTGTTCTTTCAATGAATTACAGTAAAAAGTAAGTAGATAAAGAATGAAGTATTGGGCTATATAACTAAACATACACAGTACAGATGAAAAAATACTTTTTAACTTTAAAGTAAAATGTTTCTAAATAACATACATTTGTCCAAAACTGTAATTTTGGCAACTAAGGATTGGTTGTGTATTTTCAGAAAAACACTGACAGCAACTCTGAGGACAAAGTACTCAGATTTGCTGGTGGAACTGGTGGTATTTCATTTATCACAAACTAAAACTCCATCCGTGATTTATGAATGCTTGACTAACATTTCTGCTAGAACAGCCAACAAGTAAATGACTAAACATGTTAACATTAGTCAGACTTGTATGTTAGCAATTTAAATAGGAAGAGTTCATACCCCTCTGTGAAGCCATTACTTCTGTTCATCTACATGCAGGGTAAAGTTCATTATATAGGTTGGGAAAAAACCCTACTGACCAGAAGCCCAGGACAAGAAGTAGTACCTGTCTATGAAACTGTTAGGCTCCACGTGCATTAGATAAGTGAGCTGTCAGCTGGCCAAGGAATATCAAGCATGGTAGCACTGAACTGCAGTTAGAGGAAGAGTGCCACAGGGAGTAAACAGAAGTAGAATGAACATGGTTAGATCAAAAAAAGCAACAGAACTGAAATGCCAGTTAGAAGGCAAAGGGTGGAGCTAGTTTGTCACTCATACAAATAATGATTTGAAGAAGGCAGTGACAATAAGAAGATACGCAATGTTAAAACACCACTCGCCACCCAGCAATCCCTCTGAGCACAGGCAGTCAAGGGAGACTAACATTATCCAAACCCACACACAATATGCAAACACTGATGCATCTTAAAATCCCTGTCTCTATTAACTGTCAAGAAAAATGGAAGAGAAAACCAGACAGACCCAGTAGAGAAAGAAGTATGGAAAAAACAGCTGAAGACACATTCCAACACCACTTTTTTCCTGCCTAGCCAAGGTTAGTGACTTCTTGTCATCTTCTCCCCAATCTCTTCATCATAGCACAATTCCATCCCTACTCTGCTTTTCTACTGACCTTTGTATCTTTTTCTATTTAGCACACCTCCCTGGGTCATCTTCCTCTCCTTTTTTTTTTTTTTTCTGTCACCATCCCAAAAATCTACAGTTATGGCATTACTAGCAGTTAAGATCCTTAAAGTGTTCACTTTGTTATGACCTTTCTCCCATTATATCTGCCTCATCTAACTAGACAGTAAATTCTATGGATCTTGCTCTAGATGTGTCCCTACACACCACCAAAATGAACACTATTAACAAACCTTGCTACTGAGTCTACTCTTAAATTACAAGCACAAAAACTGAAATATACCCCAGGTCCTCAAAAGATGTTTTTAAAATCTGCTTTCAATCAGAGATTTCAAATTAATAAAAAGGATGAGATTTTTGACCCTTTATATTTTGAATGCATTGAAACACTTAAACATACAAAAATTCTCGAAAAAGAGGAGATTCTCATGCAATTATCTGTCTCCAGGAACTGTGAATTTTAAGGGTAAAAATAATGAAATATCACAACAGTTATGATTAAATCATAAGAACTTGTAACCACAAATGCTTAACTCTCATAAAATGTCAATGATAATGAGTGGAGAAAAGAAAATTTTTGGTGACAGTCAAGTAATAAAAAAGAAAGATGTTTTGCCAGAAAGATAAAGCCACTCCAAAATTTTAAAGCTATTGTAGATATTTTTCTTAATTTTTTCAAAATCTTACATATTTAATAACTGCAGAGCTTCTGCTGCTTCTACTTTAATGATAAGGTTTATTCTTCCTCTTAAAAATAAAATTCTGGAATACAAGCAGACAGTTATAAAATCACGGGCATAAAACTATGTCAAAAGAAAGACAAGCAGTAAATCAGTTTTCCACTGGAATGAGCTAAGTTGTTATTTGTTGCTAGCAGTAGTACTTGTAGTATTAAAGACACTCACTATTTGTTGCTGTTGCAAAATACAGGACAAATATGACCTATCTGCACATTCTGGGCTAAGTATTTCCATTTAGCAATACCCTACTTAATACATAAAGTACACCCACCTTCTGGAACTAGTCATGCAACCAAGATATTACTCCACGCAAGCATTCGAATAAGAACTGTATGCTGAACGTACAAATAAATCCTTGATTTTCACACCGTTTCAAAAATATCTGTATAAAAACTATGTGCATATCATATTAGAAAGCCAAGAAAGTACATATTGTAAAATGTCTCAAACATATCAAGTTGTCCTTTTGGGGTTTTGGGAGACATAAATCACTTTCTGGATCAGGAAGGAATAATAATGAAAGCCTGAACAAATCACTATAAACCACATTAATGTTTAAAACAAACAAACCACCTTGAAGTCTTTCCCATGTTACTGAAAGGCCAAATAGCTATAGCTTGTGATAAACAGCATTGTGTAATTTGCCAGAGACATAAACAGCATGGTGAAATACAATCTTCGGCATTTTAGACAGAACACAGTTCTTCAACTGCAGGTGAAAATGGGCATGTAACACTGTTCAGGTAAAGTCTGACTGTGCTTAACACTGATAACATAGCTGCAGAACATGGTTTCAGGTTCTGACAGATAAAATGCACGTATAGCCTGCATTGCTGGAGTGAAAGGCTTAAAAAAAAAAAAAAAACCAACAAAAAACAACCCCAAAACAAACAAACAAAAAAAACCCCAAACATCTCTGGACAGCAAATAACTGCCTGCTTAGCAGAAATGTAGTACTATAGAGCAGGGAACACATCAGATTATGCAAACTGGAAAAAAACTGTTTTCTTTTTGCTGACAATCAATGACAAAATAGATAGAGGAAATAAAAGAACTTCAAGAACAGTGAAAAACAAAACAGCCTCAAGTCAGAACTAGCTGTGCAGCAACATACACCAAGCAGCACACAGAACAATTTTAGTGATTTTATTCAAAATCTCAAAAATAAATAGTTCCATGAGAAGAAGAATTAACAAAACAGATTTAATTCTGGCTTTCAACAGCGTTGCATCTCACAGATGACCTCAACGCACTATGCTTTCCCACCACGATTTCTGTATCTAGCTATGAAATCCTCAGTTCTTTTTATTTTGCATTGCTATAGCCCCTGACGTTATTCTTCACCTCCCTTACATTCCCCTTCCTATGCTGGTCATTGCCTAGTTCAGCAGGACATAAAAACAAGCAGTGGTTACTCTTGTAGCCGTACGCTGTCCATCCCTATTACAGGAACTTACATATCTTAGACTCCTTTATCAAGTTTGCTTGAAATTGGACAACAGGCTCAAAGCTTACTGTGGGCCAAAATCAAGAGAGGCAACATTTAGACTGCTTTCTTAGGAAGCTAGGAAAATGTTCTCCCTACCGTAAAGCTGTATTTTCTTTCTTAACTCAGTAACTTGAAACTCTTGCAACAATTGTGAAGAAAGGAAGTTATTTGAGATATCTGTCATAAGTTGCAGATCCTAGCATTTTGCCAAAACTTAAGGAATAAGCAGAATATGGTCAAAGAGATTTATTTTTTTAAATGCAAACCTGCAACCCCACGAAAGTTGCACAGAATCACAGAACCTTCCTACTTGGGGGAGGACAGACGGACATGGGGCAGGGGGGTGAGGACAACAACCGCAAAGGGACTTGTAGTAGAATTCACAGAAATAAAAGGAAATTTTGAGTTACATGAACAAGAACTTCCTTTACAAAAACGGAAACTATATATATTTTCAGTAACTTCACTTCCTGTGGTGATCTCAGAAAGTCTCCCCTAAAAACATGACAACTTTCTATACACAGTAAAATGAAAAAGTGCCTTTGAATGAAGCAGTCCATTAATTAGTAACTAAACATGTAGAAAAATTGATTAAGTTTAGCTACACAAGAAGTAACATATTCTATTCCAGTAGAACATTAATAGTGGAAGAAATATCCCACTATTTGTTATTTTGTAATATGGACATAAGCTAAAGTGAACCTAATACTAAACACAAGCAAACAAACTGAGGTTATTGTGACACAGTTGTCTAAAAAGAGAAGAAAGTAAGTTGTGTTTGAAACACCCAAGCTAGCAACAGGATTTTATTTCAATTCATCTGAGATAATGAAACCATAGCTTGGATGCTAGAGCCAACCTGTTTCCTTCATGAAGAAATCCGAAATCTAAGAATCAAGTAATCAAGCTGTTTTCCTGCTGCTGATGAGCAAACTTACTTTCAGATAAGTTTCTACAAGACTCTGCAGTAACAGTTCTAGGGGTGCACAGAAATGATAGTCACTGATCTGCAGCCTGATAACAAGCCAGCATTTCCCTCCCTTTCAGTGACTGAGGGTCCTTTTTTGATAGAGGTACAGCAGCCTCTATCACAGATCAACAGCCAATGCCCTCCTTTCATGACAGGCGTTGTATGTTCTCTCCATGATGAGGTAGAAGGAAAAAAGAGCTCCCAGACTCAAAGTACCCAAAGAATACACACTGCTGGGACTGCAGAGGAAGAGGGACAATACAAAATACAGGTACACATTTCCAAAACGGAACAACTACTCTAGTTTCATACCTATTGACAGAAGGCAGACTGCTGTAATTATTCCCTTTGGAAATACTCTATAGATCAGATTTACAGTCAA